TGCATCCTACTGGGGTCACAGCAGCGTAGTGCAGCTCCTGTTGGAGGCGACGTGCGACTAGGCCCTTGGGAGATTTTTTGCATTTTCAGTTGCTGGGTTTAGGGTTTGGGGTTTGGGGTTTAGGGTTTAGGGTTTAAGCTTTAGGGTTTAGGGTTTCGGGTTTAGGGTTTAGGGTTTAGGGTTTAAGCTTTAGGGTTTAGGGTTTCGGGTTTAGGGTTTAGGGTTTAGGGTTTAAGCTTTAGGGTTTAGGGTTTCGGGTTTAGGGTTTAGGGTTTAGGGTTTAGGGTTTAGGGTTTAGGGTTTAGGGTTTAATTAGGGCTGATGTTCTTCAGATTCTTTTAAAGGGTCCTCCGAGGTGAAGTTGACAAGGCTGACAACCGCGGCGACTCGAGCCCCTTGTTTGTGGCCTCAAGAGCCTCGGCTCCACTCTACCGGGGAGCGGCGTTTTTTTTAGGGTTTAGGGTTTAGGGTTTAGGGTTTAGGGTTTAGGGTTTAGGGTTTAGGGTTTAGGGTATGTTATTACCCCTTTTTTGAGGTACAAGTTTACTCCAGGTAGTGCTCAGTTAGAGTTGAGAGTGCGGGCAACACACGCTTTTCCTTGGGTGTTGTTTTGTTGCAGCCTTGCTTCTTGCTTGCTATGGTTACTACGTCGACCTAGTTCAGAAGCCAGAAATGCACATTCCCTCGAAGCCTCTCAATCCTCCGAAACGTCCGAAGGAAACTGCTGCGAAGGCGTCGTGAAGTTGCTGGTCCAAGCTGCCGCGGACCTCAACAGGTGCAACATCGATCGCCAGTCCCCGGCGCCTTGGACCAGGGGTTCAAGCTTTTTAGAGGTCTAGCCCGAAAGATTGGGATGTTCCACCTTATACTAACAGTCCTTAATCGGGACTATGATGGGGGGTACTAAGAAGGATTATAATAGGGGGGGGGGGGGGGTTACTGTAATCTCTATTAAGGACTGCTAGAAAAAGGCGCAACATCCCAACCTAAAAAGACCCGAACTCCCCCCGCAAGACCCTGCAAGCCCTGAAGTCTAAGCTTGGGAACGATGGGGCCCCTTCGCATGACCCACTTATCCCTGCTTACAGGGACCCGAAGTGTGGGCCCTTATTTGTATGAATATGTAGTGAGTGTTTTTACGGGTTATTATGTGACAAGGGGCCCAAACTACTTGTAAGGGCCCCCCTAAACCCTAAACCCTAAACCCTAAACCCTAAACCCTAAACCCTAAACCCGAAGCCAAATATATAAAAAAACGAAGCCAAGTATCAAAGCAGAGTTGCCAAGGTGTGGATCGCTTCAGGAGCTGGCCACCCTCCAGTTCTGCGGCTGTTGCTACAGGCGGGGTCAGAACTTGGGGCTTGGGAGGGAGTGTAGGGTATAGAGGGTCTATAGGGTTTACAGGGTTCAGGGTTTAGGGTTCAGGGTTTAGGGTTTAGGGCAGGGTTTAGTTTAGGGTTAAGGGTTCAGGGCTTAGGGTTTAGGAGGGTCTACAGGGCTGATGTGGTTTTTGCAGGGTTTCGAGGGTTTGCAGGGTTGGCTGGTCTGCAGGGTTTACAGGCGATTACAGGGTTTATAGGCTTGAGTTTTGGCTGCAGGGTTTGGAGGGCTTAGATACTTAGGACTGCTAGAGCTTGCGATAGGTTGCTTGGGGGAGTTACGGCTTGGGGAACACGAAGCCCGAAACCCTAGACCTCACAACACCTAAGCCCTCAACGTAAACCCCAAAATCATGATAAACCTAAAGCCCTAAACCCTAAACCCTAACACCTGAAGCCCTAAACCCTGAACCCTAAACCCTAAACCCTCAACCCTAAACCCTAAACCCTAAACCCTAAACCCCAGGCTCAAGCCGACCTCAGCGCCTCCGACCGTGGCGGGCGGTCGCCGCTCTGGATTGCCATGGCCAACAGCCACATGGAGCCACAGCGGCTGGGATCCCCCCTTACACCTTTCAGTGGTTCCTTTGGGTTTAGGGTTTAGGGTTTAGGGTTTAGGGTTTAGGGTTTAGGGTTTAGGGTTTAGGGTTTAGGGTTTAGGGTTTAGGGTTTAGGGTTTAGGGTTTAGGGTTTAGCCCTGAACCCTAAACCCTCTACCCTTGTAGGCGTTCCGCAAGCATGTACGAATCATGCGAAAGCTTTGATTCAGAGACGGCCTTCCTAGGAACCTCTACGCCCCTTTTTTAAGACACGAAGGACAGGAGGTGTATACCGTTTATTATTATTATTATTACTATTATAATTAATAATATTATTATTATTGTTATTCTGATTATGTTTATTGTTAGTAGTAGTATTAGTATGTATTTGTTTATTATTTCTTCTAACTGCTACTTTGTTTACTATTTGTACTCGTATTATTCTTATTAAGTATTAACTACTGGGAAATTTGCCACCCTTGTTAAAGGTACAAAGTTGGCTCCAGGCAGCGGTAGGGCCTAAACCCTAAACCCCAAACCCCAAACCCTAAACCCTAAACCCTAAACCCCAAACCCTAGGGTTCAGCGGAAACACAAGGCTCATGGACGTCCTCAAAGCGGAGCCTGATTCCACCGAAAGCATCTTGGTGAGGGACCCTGTAGAGGATTTAGGGCTTGGGGCTCAGGGTTTAGGGTTTAGGGTTTAGGGTTTAGGGTTTAGGGCTTAGGGCTCAGGGTTTAGGGCTCAGGGCTCAGGGTTTAGGGTTTAGGTTGCCGTATTGGGGGAGCTTAGCAGCACAGATTTTGTTTCCATGGGGATCCATGTAAGCCCCTAACCCTAAACTCTAAGGCAGATAAAAAACTAAACCTTGTTCCCTGAACCCTGAACCCTAGACCCTAAACCCTACAAACCCTCGAAAGCCTGAACCTTGAAGTAAACAAGAAACTAAACCTTAAACCCTAATCCCTCGACCTGAACCCTGAACCCTAAACCCTAAATTCGAAATTTTACATTTTAAATTTTAAACCCTAAACCCTAAACCCTAAACCCTAAACCCTAAACCCTAAACCCTAAACCCTAAACCCTAAACCCTAAACCCTAAACCCTAAACCCAGAACAGTGGTCCCGGAGGCATCCGCACGACCGTCGTTCGCATGCTGCTGGAGGCAAGGGCGCGGATAGACTCCGACGACGCAGGGGAGTCCGTCCTGAGCGTTGGAGCCAGGCTTCTTGGGTTTTTTTCGTTTCGGGTAAAGAGGTTTTAGGGGTTTTTAGGAGGGTTTAGGGTGCCTTAGGGGTTTTTTTCGTTTAGGGTAAAGAGATTTTAGGGGTTTTAGGATGGTTTAGGGTGCCTTGGGGTTTTTTAGGGTAAAGAGATTTTAGGGGTTTTTTAGGAGGGTTTAGGGTGCCTTAGGGGTTTTTTAGGGTAAAGAGATTTTTAGGGGTTTTAGGAGGGTTTAGGGTAGCTTAGGGGGTTTAGGGGATTTGGGGGTTAATGAGGGCTTAAGTTTTGTTGAGGGTAAGGGAGCAGGGTTCCAGCGGCGTTGGGGTTATTTAGCGTGGCGTTTGGGGTTAATTAATCGGTATGTGTTCGGTTCCCTGTCCTGAAGAGTTAAAAAGGCTCGGAAACGCCCACATCATGCAGCTCCTCGTGGACGCCAGCGCTCCCGGCGGCGATGCTGGTGCCAGCTGCTTCTCACAGCCAGCCTGGAAGGCATCCGCGGAAGGCCACGACGACATCGTGCAGATGCTGCTGAAGGCGGGTGCAGACAAGAACTGGGCCAACAGCCCCTTGTCTCATCTTGGCCAGATTTTTTGGTTGCAGGCTCCCCAATACACTCGACCCCAAGCCCGCACCCTGAGAGACCAACCAGGAGACCAGGAGTTCCCCTACGTGGTAGCCCAGTGGTACCCTTGACCCATTTTTGGTTCTGGGTTGCCCTTCTAAAGTAGCCAACTTTTTAGGTACCCTGTAAGTGATGTCAGGGGCAGGGTAGTTGACCTTCAACCTTTTTGGTTATATATAGCCCTACCACAAATAAAAGGTTAACCTTATTTAGGCTAGTACTAGGCTATTCAGCTCCTAAATTCTAAGATGGTTACGGGTCTACCAAGCCTATGCTCAAAGACTCCACCACCTACCAAGCCTATGCTCAAAGACTCCACCACCCACCACCCTCACTTAGCATATTTGGAAAGAGGGGCTTGTAGGGAGCAGAGCTCACTGTTTTGCAGGCTTTTTGGGGCCCCTAAGCCCTAAACACTAAACCCTAAACCCCAAACCCTAAACCCCAAACCCTCAACCCCCCCTGAAGCATTCGCATCCCCCTTTGGAAGGCTCGGGGGAGACCCTGCTCTGGAGCGCCGTGAAGAAAGGCTACACGCGAGTGGCGCAGGTGCTCCTGCACGCAGGTGCCCGCTGGTTTAGGGTTTAGGGTTTAGGGTTTAGGGTTAGGGGTTAGGGTTCCAGGTTTAGGGTTCAGGAGTACCTGAGCAGTTTCCCCTTGTTTTTCTTTTTAGGGGGGGGGGGGGTGGGGGGGGGTGGGGTGGGGGGGGGGGGCTAACGACGGTGGGTGGTCGTATGGGAATCGTCCACCCTAAAGCCCTAAGCCCCGGGTTTATAGGGTTCAGGGCTTAGGGTGGGGGGGGGGGGGGGGGGGGACTTTTTTGTTTCGGGTGCTGAGGGAGGCACACTGTGTCTGAGAAAGAGAGGTGCCGACCAAGACCGGGCCAGTGCAAGCGGACAAACTCCGCTGTGTTTGGCTGCTTCCTTCGCCATTAGTAGGGTCTTTTGCCCTTAAACCCTAAACCCTAAACCCTTAAACCTAAACCCTAAGCGCGAAGATGACCCGAAACCATATTATAGTGAAATTGAGACCCTAAACTCTACAATTCAAAGCGTAAACCCTAAACCCTAAACACTAAACCCTAAACCCTAAACCCTAAACCCTAAACCCTAAACCCTAAACCCGAAACCCGAAACCCGAAACCCTAAACCCTAAACCCTAAACCCTAAACCCTAAACCCTAAACCCTAGGCTGCTGCACGTGGCTTCGTGAGCATCGTGAGGCTGCTTCTTGAGCACAAGGCTGACAAAGAGCATCTTGATTCGGTTTAGGGTTTAGGGTTTAGGGTTTAGGGTTTAGGGTTTGGGGTTTGGGGTTTGGGGTTTAGGGTTTAGGGTTTAGGGTTCAGGCTTTCGGGTTTAGGGTGTAGGCTTTAGGGTTTAGGGTTTAGGGCTTTGGGTTTAGGAAGCCCTAAACAGGAAACTCCAAACCCTAAGCCCTGAAACTTCAACTCCAAGGCCGAAGCCTCAAACCTGACAGGCCCTTGGCCTTGAGGGGCTGGGGTTTAGGATTCAGGGCTTAGGGCTTGGGGGTTTATGGTTTCGAACCCTTAAACCCTAAGCCCTAAACCCTAAACCCTAAACCCTAAACCCTGGACCCATCCACGAGCTCTCATGCTTGGGACCAAGGCAGCCCACCCGTGAGAAGAAGTCGCCGCTGCTCCGCTAGATTAAGTGTTGAGACTCCTTTTAGGCCATTGTTTGTTTGGGGTTAAGGCTTTAGAGGCTTAGGGTGTAGGGTTTAGGGGTTAGGGTGTAGGGTTTGTTTGGATGAAGATCTGTATTGCGCAAAGAGGTGTTTGGTTGCTTAGTTGTTCAACCCTGGCTATGTCGAGCTTTGGGGATTGGTGCAGTTCATATAGAGTTTTCATGGTGCCTTCAGGGTTCGGATTTACAGGGTTTAGGGTTTAGGCAGTGCTAAGTTCGAGAAGTCAGCTGGATGTGTCCAAGGACACAGGCAGTAGGACCAGCCCGAGCACGCATGGACCTGTTTAGCGAAGTATGTCCCTTGCTAGGACCCAGAGTAGGCCCTTGTTCCCCTTTGTTTTCGGGTTGAGGGTGCCCGTTTATGCCCCTCTAAACCTAAACAGGGTGCCCTTTTTTCTTCCTAGGTTGCTCCTGGGTCTAGTCTCTATCTATCTAACTAACTATCTATCTATCTATATATATATAATATAGATAGATGTTGTTTGGGTTTTTGTAGAGTTTATGGGTTTGTACAGGGTTTATAGGGCGGGTTTCGGGTTTACATAGCAGGTAACGAGAATCTTGACATGGCTCCTCTTGTGATTCAGAGGCCCGACACCTCAACCCTCTCAGACCCTCAAAAGAGCCCCAGTTAGACCCAGATGAACATAGGGCCTATAGGCATTCCATAAAGACAACACGCTAAGCCCTAAACCCTCAACCCTCAACCCTCAACCCTCAACCCTCAACCCTCAACCCTCAACCCTCAACCCTAAACCCTAAACCCTAAACCCTAAACCCTAAGCCCGAATGAAACCCTATAAATCCTAAACCCTAGACCCTCTTCAGCCCTGCGGCATCCTCGTCACTTCGCGGGGCAAGGCTGTGGCTAGCCGCGGCCAACGCACACGTGGCCGTGGTGCGCTCCCTTCTTCAGGCCCCACGCGCTGTCCCCACCTAAGGCGAATGCACTAAAACCTACCCCGTTAAAGCCCTTAAAAGACTAGGCCCTGCACCCTACTAAAGCCCTAGAACTCTTGCACCCCTAAAAGCCTCAAGCCCTAAAACCCCTCAAGCGCTGCACCATAAAGCCTTAAAGCGGCCCGAAATAAACCCCAAACCGCCTGCCTAAAACCCAGAAGCCTTAAACCCTAAACCCTCATATCCCCTGAAGCAACCCTCAAGCCCGAAAGCCCCCAAACCCAAACTCCCTAAAACCCTCAGGCCCCAAAAGCCCAAGAGTACGACTCCACTGGTCCCTCGCCAGGCTTCGGGTTTAGGGTTTAGGGTTTAGGCCCTAAACACTAAACCCTAAACCCTAAACCCTAAACCCTAAACCCTAAACCCTTAGGATCTAGGATTTCGGGCTTTGAGCTTAGGGTCTGGCCCTGATAGGCTCACAAAAAAACCCAAAGAACCGCTCGGACCATCGTCTTTTGAGGTGCAACACAACCAAGTACAAGACTTCCTACTTAGGGCTTAGGGCTTAGGGCTTAGGGCTTAGGGTTTAGGGTTTAGGGTTAGGGTTTAGGGTTTAGGGTGTAGGGTGTAGGGTTTAGGGTTTAGGGTTTAGGGTTTAGGGTTTAGGGTTTAGGGTTTAGGGTTTAGGGTTTAGGGTTTAGGGTTTAGGGTTTAGGGCTTAGCTCTGAACCCTACACCCCAAGACCCTAAATCGTAAACACCGATCCCTGGGCCGCAGCCCCGTCACTTGAGGCTTTCGTGTGAAGCCTCGAGGCCCGCATCTCCCCCAAACGACCCGAAAATCCGCAACTACAAATTTTCTAAACCCCAAATCCTGTGCCCCCAACCTTAAAGCCCTCCAGCCCCTAAATCCGAGACCCTTAAATGCCCTTAAACCCTAAACCCTAAACCCGCAAGCCAAGCTTGGGCCTTGTCAATGCCAAGGCTTGAACCTCCCGAAACCCTAAACCCCTAAACCCCTAACCCTAAACCCTAAACCAGCTAAACCCTAAAGCCTAAAGCCTAAACCCTAAACCCTCAACCCTAAACCCTAAACCCCCTAAAGCCCACGCCCAAAACCAACTCCGCGCCCGCGGTTGCAGGAAAGAGCTGATTTGAACCAGACCGACTTGCGACTTCCTCCAACAATAATAGGGGAAGTGTTTAGGGTTTAGGGTTTAGGGTTTAGGGTTTAGGGTTTAGGGTTTAGGGTTTAGGGTTTAGGGTTTAGGGTTTAGCTTACGCTGGTTCCTAATAGGGGGCTGTTTGCACATGTTTCATTCTCTACAGGTATCGATAGAGGATATAAGGGAGCGCTTGTCATGGTCGTTTCCCAAAAGGAGGGTCCCCCCTATACACCCCTCCCGAGTATACTTTACAATCCCTACTGTTGACTTTAGGAACACCCCCAAACCCTAAACCCTAAACCCTAAATCCAAGTTTCGATGTTCCCTTAGTAGATTTGCCGTGATGAGGGACAACCTAGGTCTTGGGCGACAGCATTTGGGTTTAGGGTTTGGGGCTTAAGGTTTAGGATTCCGGTAAGCCCATGAAGTTTCAGATGTGTAACCCTAAACCCTAAACCCTAAACCCTAAACCCTAAACCCTAAACCCTTGTACCTTTGTTGACTCCATTAGAAGACATCGTCCTTGGTGGTTGCCTCAACCTCCCAATTAGCCAAAACGAGCTGCCTGTTTTCCCTGTATTTTCCCTGAACCTAAACCCTAAACCTACAAGTTAACCAAAACAGCTAACTGTCTACCCTGTAGTTTCTCTGAGCCGAACACCTCAACTCTAAACCCCATATGTTGTCGTTTCAAGGTCAGTATATTCTGGGTACACGAGGGGTGTAGCTGGATTGCCCCTCCTCCCCCAAGATGAAGAACATGCCCCATTCAAAAAATCACGCCGTTCTGGGTGGTTAGGAATCCCTAGCCCTACACCCCTAAACCCCTAAACCCCTAAAAACCTAAAACCCTACAACCCTAAACCCGCAGCAAAGGGAGGGAACGTCGCCATTGGCCGTCGCCTCGGCACGAGGCCACACCCAGGCCAATCAATCTGCCAAAGTGAAAGGTTCAAGGTTGAAGGTCCCAAACCCTAAGCCCTAAGCCCCCTAAGCCCTAAACCCTAAACCCTAAACCCTAAGCACCCTAAACCCTAAACCCCCTGAACCCCCCAGACCCCCTAAACCCGAAGCCCTAAACCCTAGACCCTAACCCCTTGAGAGTTCAGAGTCAGGAAGTGCAGGGTTTTTAGGATTGCGGGTCAAACCCTCCACCCTCCTCAACCCGCCCCCCCCCCCCCAAAAAAAAAAAAAAAAAACGAGAGAAAGAAACAAGACACACACACACACACAAAACAAAAAAAGCAACAACAACAACAACAACAACAACAACAACAACAACAACAACAACAACAACATTCTTGGCCTTTCTGCTCCGCTAGTGTGTAGCGGGGGGTAACCCCTTAACCCCGAAACCCTAAACCCCAAATCCGTTGCTAGGGAAGAATTCGGCTGAGGTACCTCGTGGCGCCAGTCCCTAAACCCAACCCCTACAACCCCAAACCCCAAACACTAAACCCGAAAAAGCCCTAAGCCCCAAACCTCAGGGTGGAAGTGCCCAGGCTGCTTGGTGGAACCTCGATAAGCCCATATGTCAGGCCAAAACATAGAACCTAGGGTTTAGGGTTCAGGGTTTAGGGTTTAGGGTTGCCTACACCCTTACCAAACCCTAAGCCCTAAACCCTACACCCTAACCCTGCACCACAGCTTAGCCTTCAAATGCCAAAACTTGAAACCCCCAAACCGTTTTAGGGTTTAGGGTTTAGGGTTTAGGGTTTAGGGTTTAGGGTTCAGGGTTTAGGGTTTAGGGTTTAGGGTTTAGGGAACCCTAAACCCCTAACCCCAAACCCCACGAAGACTTCAGGTTGCCAAACTGCTGCAGCAGAACGGCGCCGAAGACGCTTTCGAATCTTGGCTTTCTTCTGGCTGGCTTTTGTTGGAGGGGTTTAGGGTATAGGGTTTAGGGTTAGGGTTTAGGGTTTAGGGTTTAGGGTTTAGGGTTCAGGGTTTAGGGTTTAGGGTTTAGGGCTAGCCAAGGAATCGGAGGAGCCGCCCCGGAGCCCAAAGCGGCTCCGAAGGCCAAACCATCCAGGCGACGAGGAGTTAAAGATCTCCTGAATATTCAGAGCAAGCCTCTTATTCCCCTTTGTTGTTTAGTTTAGGGTTTCGGGTTTCGGGTTTCGGGTTTCGGGTTTAGGGTTTAGGGTTTAGGGTTTAGGGTTTAGGGTTTAGGGTTTAGGGTTTAGGGTTTAGGGTTTAGGGTTTAGGGTTTTAGGGTTTAGGGTTTAGGGTTTTAAAGGGTTTAGGGATTTGGTTTAGGGTTTAGGGTTTATGTTCACTTACATAAGCCCCTTGGAACCAAAAAGGGCAGCCTCTTTGTTTCTAGGCTACTCTTGGGTCTAGACGATCTCAACCCTAAACCCTAAACCCTAAACCCTAAACCCTAAACCCTAAACCCTAAACCCTAAACCCTAAACCCTAAACCCTAAACCCTAAACCCTACACCTCCTCATTGGGCTGAG